ATAGATAGATAGATAGATAGATAGATAGATAGATAGATAGATAGATACTCAGATTCACATTAGCTTTTCCAGAAAGATATACTCTTTCTGAGAGAATACCAGCATTTTCAGATATGGCTTCTGGCTGTCATATCAAAGGATTAATCAACTGTCAAATACCGGAAGGACACTAGATTATGGAACATCCACCTGTTCTTCAGAATTGCTTCCAGGATGAACAGAACACCCTAGATTGTTTTCTGCTGCCAGTGTGTTGGGATCAAGCCATTACATCCTTGGATTTATGACTAAGTAGTTACACCCGGCAGAATCTGGTCTAACATTAGCATGAAGAAAACATCAGAGATTTCTTGACAATAAGTTGATCACCAATTGTATCTATCAACCTTGGTTAATGTCATGTGCATCTAAAGTCACTTAGATTGGGAAAACCTATGAATATTGTTAAATAAAAAAATATGTAGCTATAGGTCAGGAGGCTGTATGGTAGAGATGATTTAATAAAGAGTAAAACTCACCCATATATTTCAATGTCTCTCTCTGTTCTCTAGTGTCTTATTTCAAATACAACTCTTTGTAAATGTCAACATAGACCAAATATCAGTTTGTGGTATAACTAAGTAAATGGCAAAGTCCTATTGCTGTGATCCCAGGTAGTGTGCTCCCTTTCATTTATTTTGTTTTAGCACTGCCATGAATTTCAAGGCAAGATTTGACAGTACACTTTTTTTTATTTCTTCACCTGCCATGTCATATAAATACCTTATTATTTATGGAGAAATAAAAAATATAATGCTTTTGGGTCCAGCCATTCTGAACTGGCCTACTTGTTACAAAGTCCAGGCAATGCTTAAACCTGAATTTAAATCATATGCTTTTTAGTGAGGGCCAACTTTATATAACCTTTTTCATGAAAATATCACCAGATTAGTGTTAGGTATTTATTAAGGCAAATTAAATGTAGATGTCAATCAAGTAAAATAAGGAAATAGATTCTATATGACACCCTGAATCACAAAGGAGGAAAAAGATAGTTACATTGACTTAAATTAATTGTCAGCAATCCAAGTAATGCACCCACTGAAAGCAGAACTCCGAGTCAGGTATATTCCTCAAAGAACAATTTATTGGATACATCATATTGGCACAACTAGTGAAAGCTGACTCTGAAGGTTCCCAAATAAGGTTTTCACCTAATTAAAAAGTTCCCCCTTCCCTCCCAGTTCACTGATCACAATGTCCAATAGTGATGCTAGCAGGTTTCCTGGTTACTTCACTCCTTCTCTTCTCAGCAATCTGTTGGAATGTCCTTGGTTCCCACAAAAAAAACTTATCTAAAGCCAAGTTGTCTAAATTCCACCCCCCAGGGGCCCCTACGACAACTACTCACAGAAATAAAAATGTAAATGGTTGATAAAATTAAACATATATTTGTGTCAGCCTTCAAGATCTTCTACTATTGCTTTGCATCTTTTGGCTGCCATAAGTAACGGGGGAAGGAGGGGATAAAGTCTGGGAAGCGAGCTGGAGGTGTTACATTCTAGTGTTGTATAAACTGAGGAGGGGGGAGTATAAATTCTTGCTCAGGTTTCTATTTCTTGCTTAGCTTTCTTTTCTCTGCGCAGCTGCAAACCTTTATCAAAATATGCCAAGGTCAATGGACAGAGGCCTCATCACCACCTGAAGATGTCCACATGATCATATTCACAACTTTTAATTGGAAGAATCATTTGAACTATTGGGGGTGGGAACATTTCCATCACTTTGTATATGTGATTTGCACGCCTAATTCCTCAGATTGAGAATTCTATGGTTACTACCACTTCATTTTCAGTAAAAGATATCTTTTCTCTAATTTAAGGAGTCTAAGTATTTCTTTCTGGAATTTTGAATGGAGCACTACCTGACATTATTCTGAATCTCCCTCTACCAGCCCACCTGGAGAAAATATCCAGTTTCTTCCGAGGGGGTCTGAACATCATGTCATCTCCAACTAGTGACCAGGAAGACCTGGGCGCCATTGGAGGGCAAGATTCCTTACTGTTACCGGAGGTACGGGAAGCTGAATTGTTAGCAGAGCTCAATCTGGAAGAAATCCCAGCTGTGAAGCCCAGATGGTTGTTGGGAGTTGGCTGGAAGAATCCGGAGGAGGCTCCCCCCCCCCCGGAGTCACCACCACCCAACGGCGTGGAAAAGAGGAGCCATGGCAAGAGAGGGAAAAGAGAGATCTTTTACTGGACCAAGCCAGGCAACTCCTCAATAAGGCGTTTGGACAACCTCACACTGCACAAAGGTATGAGGGAGAAGGGGGAGCAGCCCCAGGAAGAAGAAGCCGAGCAGCCCCCACCCCCATAAATCAACCTGAGCCAGCGCAACAGCCAGCCGCAGCCCCGGGGCCCCAGTGGGAGGTGAAATTCCTAGAAGGCGTAGAGCTCCCAAGTTGCCTCCGTTAGAAGTGAAATATGGGGGAAATCCCAAAGACCTGGGGTTTTTCCTAGCACAAGTTTGGAGCTACATGGAAGAATATGGGGAGGAATTCTCCTCAGAAGCAGCCAAAGTGAGATGTGTTACCAGGGCTCTGGAAGGAATAGCTGCAGAGTGAATGGTGACTTTGCATAATGATAACGCCCCCCAGCTGCTGAATTATAACCTGTTCATGACTGCACTGCGGGCAAGATTTGAGGACCCACTGGCGGAGCAGAAAGCCAGGATCAGGATGAAGACCATAAATCAGGGGCGGAGATCAGTGGCCGATTACACCCAAGAGTTTAGACAGCTGGCGTGTCATATCCAAGGCTGGTCCCAGGGAGCCCTGATAGAAGCGTTTAAAGATGGATTAAATGAAGACGTATACCAGAGATGCATTGCTAGAAGGGACCCCAATGACTTGCAGTTGTGGTACTTGCTGGCAGAAGAGGTGGAAATTGATCTAACCCGAAGCAGGCACCGGGGAGGCTCTGGGTGGAACAAGCCACGTCTTCAAGAGGCCTCCAAGCCCCAGAAGGGAGGGGTGGCAGCAAGACCCAAACCCACTGCTTGCTTCTGTTGTGGGAAGGAAGGTCACCGGGCTGCGGACTGCAGGGCCAAGTTGGATCCAAAGGGGGTGCCAAAAGGAGGGAGGAAGCCTGAAAACCCCCCAGCGAAGCCTTGCGAAACCGTGCTAAAGATGAGGGAGGTTGTAGAGGTCCCCCCTCCAGAAGGAGAGGAGCTGGGACCTCTGACCTCCTCTGAAGAGAGTGAATCTGACTCAGAAGACGACTTCCTGGTAAATCCAAACAAGGGCCCTATGACCATTCCAGTGAAATTGAGGGTACCCACATCTGGGGCCGAAGGGGAGATGCTAGCCTAGCTAGACTCTGGGTGCACGAGGTGTGTAATCAACACGAGAGTAGTAGAGGAAATGTGCTTAAGACTAAAACCTTTAAAAATGCCCATAGCCTTTGCCAATTGGATGGATCAGTGACGGGGGGCTGCCCTGCACGCTTCATAACAGAACCCATAGAAATGACCATGGGAGAGCATAAAGAAACCCTGTGTTTTATTGTGGGCCCTGGGATGGAGCAACCGCTAATACTGAGATTACCATCGCTCCAGAAGTGGAACCCTCATGTTAATTGGAGGAAGGGGTCGTTGTGCATACGTACCAACCAGTGACCAGAAAGGGAGGGGCGATCTCAGCCGAAGCTTCAGAATCCGGTTGAGTTAGCCTCCACAGGTACTGAGAACTTGAAGGGGGAGGAGAAAATTCCGAAGGAATATTGGGATTTAAAGGAAGTGTTCAGTGAAAAGGCCTCAGATGAGCTCCCCCCTCATCGGTCAACAGACTGTAGTATTGAAATCTTACCTGGGGTGAAGCTCCTGAAACCGAAGTTATATTCGATGACACCACGAGAATTAGAAGAGCTGAGATCGTTTATCGATAAAAATTTGGAACGTGGTTTCATCCAACCCACTAGACCCTGGGTAGCGGCCCCAGTGCTGTTCCGTGAAAAGAAAGATGGCTCCAAGCGCTTGGTGGTGGACTATAGAGATTTGAACGCGATTTCCGTGGAAAACGTGTACCCCCTTCCCCTGACGAAGGACATGCTGGCCCACCTGGCCAAGGGGAAAATTTTCAGGAAGCTGGACTTGAGAGAAGCGTACTACCGAGTTCAAATCAAGGAAGGGGATGAGTGGAAAACCGCTTTTAACTGCCCGATGGGTTGTTTCCAATTCAACGTTCTCCCATTTGGCCGACAGGGGGCCCCAGCCGTATTCATGCAGATGATCAATCAGGTGTTACATGAACATTTATACAAGGGGGGTTTGGTTTACCTTGATGACATCCTTATCTACACGGAAACTTGGGATGAACATGTGAAACTGTTGGGATGAACATGTGAAACTAGAAACTGCAAGCCGCTAAGTTGTAGGTAAACTGTCCAAATGTGAGTTCCATCAAGAGAAAATCGACTATTTGGGGTATCGCATCTCACATGAGGGCATAGAAATGGATCCAGGGAAGGTGTGTGCCGTGTTGGAATGGGGCCCCCCACGCACCAGAAAACAACTTCAAAGTTTCTTGGGATTCACCAATTTTTACCCGCAATTTATCCCAGCTTTTGCTAAGATAGCAATGCCTATCACAAATCTCTTAAAAACTAAAGGGGAGGCAAAGCCAAGGCCTAGCAAGCCGTTGGAGTGGTCCATGGAGTGCCAAGCAGCCTTTGAAAAGCTGAAATGACTGTTTGCTGCAGAACCAGTGCTAAAGCACCCAGACATGGATGCTCCTTTCGTGATCCAAGCCGATGCGAGTGATGTGGCTGTTGGAGTGGCATTACTTCAAATCAATGAGAAAGGAACTTTACAACCCTGTGCCTATACCTCCCGTAAACTATCTGAAACCGAAAGAAGGTGGGCCATCTGGGAAAAAGAAGCTTTTGCAGTTTGCTGGGCTCTATTGACTTGGAGACATTTCTTGGAAGGAGCGAAACACCCGTTTGAGGTATGGACTGATCATAAGAATTTGGAGGCCTTAAAAACGCCTCGGAAGCTGTCTCCTAAACAAGTTCGCCCAGTACTTTAAGCAATTTAACTTCTCATTGAAGTACATTCCAGGTGGGAGGAATTTCATGGTGGATGCTTTATCTAGACTGCCTCAATATAATAGTGTTTGCCAGGAAGTGATACGGCCGATTGTCTCAACCAAACAGCTAGCCGCCCCAGTAATCACTAGAGCTCAAAAGAAGAAACAAGAAGTGGATTTATCGAATGATTTCACTGCACAATTAAAAGAAGCCCTAAAACTTGATGATTGGTTTCTGGCTCATTCGAATAACTATACAGTTAGAGATGGTTTGGCCTGGATGGGAACAAAGTTGTATGTTACAGAGACACTGAGAAGCCAAATATTACAGCGAGCTCATGATTCTAAAGCAGCTGGCCATTTTGGATCCATGAAAACGTTACACCTGGTTAAGCGGCAATTCTGGTGGCCTACGTTGAAGAAGGACATTGAAACTTATGTGGCTAGCTGCTCAATTTACGCATCAGTAAAGAGACCTCCTGGTAAGCCAGCAGGGCTGTTACAAAATGTAGCTAAACCAACGGCTCCATGGAAGGAAATCTCTATGGACTTTATAGTGGAATTGCCCAAAAGCGCCGGAAACACGGTTATTTGGGTGGTAACCGATTTGTTTTCCAAGCAAGTACACTTCATACCTTGTTCCAAAATTCCATCTGCAAAAATGTTGGCCAAACTATTTATACTACATATCTATAGATTACATGGCATTCCTGAACGTATAATTTCTGACAGAGGGGTTCAATTTACCTCGAACTTTTGGAGGGAGTTCCTGAAGTTGATAGGCTCCGCCCAAGGCTTAAGCTCCGCCCACTCCCCCCCAAACCAATGGGGCCTGTGAGAGGACTAACGCAGTGTTAGAACAATACCTTAGATGTTACATAAATTATCAGCAGGATAATTGGACTGACCTATTGCCATTTGCCGAAGTGGCATATAACAATTCTGTAAATAGTAGTACTGGGTTTACCCCATTTAAAGTGGCGTCAGGATAAGATTTTGTACCCATACCTGAGCTTCCTCATGAAAGGCCTAACATCCAGTCATTAGACAAATGGATATCTCAACTCCAACTTAATTGGCCAGTCACTCATAAAGATTTAGATGACGCACATCAATCTCATAAGTAGTTTGCAGACAAAAAGAGAACTCCCCAGAAACCGTATCAAGTGGGCGACAAAGTTTTCTTGTCTACCAGATATCTACAAACCACTCAAAAGTCGAAGAAACTTGGTCCTAAATATGTGGGTCCTTTCACGATTGAATGAATCGTAAATCCTGTGACAGTCCAACTGAAATTACCGAAAACTCTTTGACGAATCCACCCGATCTTCCATGTTAGTTTGTTAAAACCTGAACATACTTCTGGTTTAAGACCGACCCAGACTGATCCTCCTATACCATTGCTGATCGAAGGTGAACAACATTTTGAAGTTAAAGAAATTCTGGACTCTCGCAAATGGAGAGGTCGGCTCCAATATCTTGTGGCTTGGAAACACTTCCCTTCTTCCCAAGCTGAGTAGGTCAATGAAAAAGATGTTAGACCCCCTAAGCTGATCAAAGCCTTTCGTACAAAGTATCCTGATAAACCCTAGAAATGTATCCATTTTATTTACCTGATTATTAATTAGTATCTTTTATGTTTCTTTTTCTCTTGTAGGACTAACGTCTTTTTTCTAGAAGGGCCGAATGTCAGCCTTCAAGATCTTCTACTATTGCTTTGCATCTTTTGGCTGCCATAAGTAACGGGGGGAGGAGGGGGTAAAGTCTGGGAAGTGAGCTGGAGGTGTTACATTCTAGTGTTGTATAAACTGAGGAGGGGGGAGTATAAATTCTTGCTTAGGTTTCTATTTCTCGCTTAGCTTTCTTTTCTCTGTGCAGCTGCAAACCTTTATCAAAATATGCCAAGGTCAATGGACAGAGGCCTCATCACCACCTGAAGATGTCCACATGATCATATTCACAACTTTTAATTGGAAGAATAATTTGAACTATTGGGGGTGGGAACATTTCCATCACTTTGTATATGTGGTTTGCACGCCTAATTCCTCAGATTCAGAATTCTATGGTTGCTACCACTTCATTTTCAGTAAAAGATATCTTTTCTCTAATTTAAAGAGTCTAAGTATTTCTTTCTTGAATTTTGAATGGAGCACTACCTGACATATTTGCATGTTAGTATTAATTTTAAAAAATGCAGTAAAATGTAATAAATATGTTGCTGTATTTATATGATACATGTTGAAGGGTCAGCATGTACACATTAGTATGGGGCCCCTGTGCTCGTGTCCATCAGACCCATGCATTAAGACAGCCCTGTTCCGCTCTTCGCTTTGTGGCAACCAAGAAGCCTCAAAGATGGCCTCAGCCAGGCTCACTTCAGGGTTTTCTTCAAATAAACAATTTTATGTTCATTGGCTCCAAGACCAAGGAAAATTAAATAATCCTGTCATTCACATTTAATCTTGCTTGAGCTGTGGGAAACTATTGATTCTGATTCCTGATTTAGTTTCTTCCCTTGTCAAGAGATTCCTACATTTCTACAGTATGCTAAGATGGTTAAAAGTCAACAGTCAACAATCAGTGTAATCATTAATCAGAGATGCAGAGCAACAGCAACAAAAAAGATGTACAATTTATAGATACATATTTTTGTAACATGTTCCCTACATTTACTTTAATTAAAATAATCAAGCTAAGATATATCAGCATCATAATTATTTGTTGAATTTGATAGACCCTTATGTAAAACTGTGACCTAGTTGAAATTTTATCTGAGATCAAATAAAAAAGATTAAGATCTTCACTTTTTCCTGGAATATTCACTAAAAATATTTAGCACTTCTTGCTAAATAAATAAATAAAACAACATGTAGCCCATTGTCCAAGCCAACAAGGAGATGCACCCAAAATCTATTTTCAAACAAACCTAATGGAAGAACATTAAAACAATGAAGACCTCTCTCTGGTTAAGGGTGATGAGATTTAAAATGCAATTTTTACTGTACAATTTCTCAATGACTTCAAGATTAGGATAATTAGAAATTAGATTTAAATTCTTCTGTAAATTTATTTTCTTAACCTGTTGCCTAATCATTGCTTGGTTTTATAAAAAGCAAAGATGACTTCAAATTCTGGAACACATCTAAATTAACTTATATCACTTAAGAATTATGATTAACTAATACAGGAGGACACCTCCCCCCCTCAAATCCTATATTTATTTTTCAATTGTCCTCTACCTTGCCTCTTTAAAAAAATTATAAGCTTCTCTCAATGTTGGCTAAAGTTTGATTGTTTTAGAATTATTTAAAACTTCACTTAACATTGTTTTTGAAGTATGGTTATTATTATAAAGGTGTACAGGTTACTGATTTTCTTTTTAATCTGCACAGATCATTTAATGATTCAGAAGCTCTTTGACTGTCCATCTTTTCTGTCAGTGAATGAAGCAGTTCCTCCTGAGCTCTTTTGTTAAAATTTAATTGATGTTTAGAAAGCCTAGGACAGACACCTGGAGAGATGGTGATAGAATGAGAGGCAACATAATCTGACACATCCTTCTCTCACACAAACATATTTTTGCCAAGGAAGTATCCTCCTTTAGGGGAAAAAGGGCAGAGTAATCTATTTTCTATCAGACTACATAAGAGAGCACAATAATGTTATTTGGCATAGCACTAATATAGTTCATTCATGTTCTAATCTTTCTTATTCCATAATTCTTACAAGTATTTCTCTTTATGGTCCTTTATGCCTGCTCCATTTATCCTAAAAGTCTTTGTCTCATCAAGCTCTTCAGAATCTCCTTAGGTCTGGGAACTTCCGGTTGATGTCAGAGCGGGACAACTGTGGCAAACGGGTCTCCGCAAAGCCCAGCTGATTTCTATCTGCCTGGAGGTTCTTCAGAGCCAAACATCACCCTGTAGGGGTGACAGAAGAGGAAGGGCACTCATAAATCACAAGTGGACAGTGGTCCACTTTACTTGATCCAGAATAATCTTCCTGACAGGGGGAAAAGAAGATGGCTGTTAATGACTGAACCAGAGCTCTGACAACTGGAACAAGGCAAGCACAAAAAAGTGGAAAGAAACAATGTATTGGACTGGGATAAGGATTTTCTAATTTCTACCCTGATTTTAAACTGTTTTAAGTTTATCAAAGAAGGAGACTCCAGAGAAGGAGGGAGGGAATTGTCACCTCTTTTCCCCTCTGGAAAGCGGGAAGTGAAAGTTAAGCAAAGAATTATTTATCACAATTGGAAAGAGAAGAACTGGACTGAGTATTTTAACAAGACAATTTAAGATTTAGACAGGCTGTATTTATACTGAGCTATTTTCCTTTCTAAACCTTTTGGCTATATCAAGTGAAAGTTCTGCCTTTTTACTTTTTTTCTGGATTCCAAACTTATAGTGGAAAGGAAAAAGAAAGCAAGGCTGCCATCTACTGGCTAAAGTTGGAATATACAAGAAGATATATTTTGAGTTGGTTAGCTTCAACTAAGAGGCTGATAAGACTTTGTTTTAAGAACTGCTACAGCTGCTGCTAGAAAGCAGATTAAACACTAAGCCCTGTTTTGGAATTTACTGTGGAAAAAGTAAGATTGGATAGCCACAGGGAAGAATTATTTCTGGACTTCTGTGGATTACAAACACTTTTAGCAGACGGATAGAAAAAATGAAAAGACAAATACCTATTTTGCAGATGTGAGAAGAACATTTTGGTTTAGCTTGCTACTTTTTGCCTTTTTTTCTTGTTTTTTAGGATTGACCATGTAAACTATTGGAACAATAAAAAGCAAAGACTGGGGTTACAGCGGGCCTTGTGGATTATCAATTTAATTGACTTGGACTTTGGCATTGTCATTTCTTCTTTTTTTTCCCCTTTCTCTTTGTTGAATATTGAACTATTAAAGACTGGGGATACAATGGTCCCTGTGGATTATAAATATTAAAAATATCAACTGACAGAATGTAACAAACACTTTTAAGGACAAACAACTCTCCTCTTCCCTCTTCCCTTTTCCCTTTTTTTGCTTTTTACTTTTTTCTGTTCTCCTTTTTTGTTGTTTCTTTTTCTGTTCATGGACTGATCCTGTAAACTATTGAAATAGCAAAGAGCCAAGACTGGAGTTACACTTGGCCTTATGGATTACAAATTGAATTGATTTTGATTTTGGCATTGAAATATTGAAACATTGGGACATTGAGATACTGAGATATTGAAGATTGATTATATCTGAACTGGAGGAAGCTGAAGTTGTATATGATCTTCTTTTGGTTATTTCTATTGGATGCAATGGGGTATTGAAGCATTGGAGTACCATAGGGGACAAGCTTCTGGTTAGTTGATCTTTGGTTGTTAGTAGGAATAGGGGAAATAACCATTGTTAGCCTAACATTAGTTGTTGAGATGTCAACTTTAAACCATAATTAGAATAGGGAAGAAGGCATCATCAGCTTCTCCAAGTCTATCCAATCAGAGGTCAATTGAGAGCATGTTGCAGTTGGAGAAAGCAAATACTTTTCAAAAAGAGGTATTGGTGATGTTCCAAGCATTACAGGAGTATGTGACAAAAAACCACAGTGAGATAAGAAAAGATATAGGAAAAGTGAGAAATGATATGGGGGAGATGTAGGAAAAAATTCAAAAGATAGATGAGAAACTTGATAATTTCCAGCAAATGATAACTAAAAATGAGCAAAGGATCCAGAAAATGGAGGAAAAATCAGAACAAGTAGAGAAAAAAGTTGATGACATAAGTTATACAAGCAAATAAAGAGCTAGAAAACACTGTGATAATGTTGGACATAGAAAAAGCTGCTCACTATTTGAGATTCCAGAATATAGAAGAGGAGAAGTAGGAGGACCTGCCAGAGAAAATGAAAGAACTGCAGGTGAAGATGTTAGGAATAGACAAACAGGAAATGGAAATTGATGAAATTTTTAGAATACATACAAACAATGCAAGAAGGAATAAGCTTCCAAGAGAGGTGCATGTATGATTCATTAAAAAATTGATGAGAGACAAGATACTCAACAAAGCAAGAGATGAACCACTGCAATACAAGGGGAAGCAATTGGTGATCTTGAAACAAGTTCTAAAGAGAGTAAGAGACCTTCAAAAGCAATACCACTTTCTGACTACAGTGTTGATCAAATACAATGTAAATTTCAGGTGGTTGATACCTGAAGGGATCTGGATTCTCTGGAAAAAGCAATGGAATTTTATGACTGACACTTTAATATGGAAGAGGAACAAAAATGAGAGGAGAAATAGTGCATAAAGGCCAAGAAGTCCAATGATGAAAGAGAAACAGTTACAACAAGATGAGAATGAAAAGGAGAAAATAGAGTGGGCAGAGTGAGAAGAAGCAATAGCAAACGAACCCAGAGAAATAAGAGCAACCTGGAGTATAAGACCTATATATAAGTAAAACAATGCAAGAATAAACAAAGATGCTATCAGTCAATGTAAATGGACTGAACTCCTGTATGAAAAGGAAGAAAATATTTTTAAAATTACAAAGATTAAAATTGGACATAATATCACTTCAAGAAGTACATATCAAAAAAACCATCAGTATAAACTATTGGAGAATTCTAAATTGGGGAAACTATTTTACTCGCTATCACAACAAAAGAGAGGAGGGGTTGTATTATACATTAAAGAAATAACAAATGCTAAGCCAATCTTCAAAGATGAAGAAGGGAGAATTCTGATGGTGGAAGTGACTTTAAATCAAAAACAGGTACTTTTGGTTGCCATATATGCACCAAATAATGGATAAGACGAATTCTACAAAAAACTCCACAAGAAGATACTTGAAACAGAATATGAATATATTTGTCTTATAGGAGATTTCAATGCAATAGTTGATACAAACCTGAACTATAAAATTAGCAAAATAAATAAATAACAAAAAACATTTTTAAATGACAGAAGAACTATCGATATGAGACTTGTGGAGAGAAATGAATCTAGGGAAAAATCAGTATATATTTTGTTCTAATATGCACCAATCTTGGTCCAGAAGAGATATGATATGGATGACTCCAGAACTGAGTGTAAATGTGCAAGAGATAGAAATAGAAACAAACCTATGGGCTGACCATAACCCAATCAAAATTAGCTGGAAAGGACAAAAAGAAGAGATTGAAATCAATCTGTAATAAAAGACAAAGAATTTATACAGATGATGGAAAAAGAAATGGGATTCTTTTTTTTAAAGAAAATAGAAAGAAGAGACTTCATTACAAAATGTGTGGGACACAGCAAAAATATATATTAGAGGACTAGCTGTAACTTACATAGTGAAGAAAAATAAGAAAAAGAAACAATACTAAAAAAACTTTGGAAGAACATAAAAGATGAAAGAGCTATAAAAAGAACCACAAAAGGTATGCTTAAAACATCAAATGGAGATGATTAAGCATAAACTAAGCATAATAGAAAAAGATGAACTGGCACAACAAATAAAAAGAGCAAAACAAAACTTTTTTAAAAATGCTAATAAACCTGGAAGATGGCTAGCATATAAATTGAAAAAGGAGAAAAAGAAGAAATGGATAAGTAAATTAAAAGATGAGGAAGGCATACTACACTATCAAATGGAAAAGAAAAAAGACATGATACAGGAGTTTTATAAGAAGCTATACGACCATGAAAAAGTACCAGAAGAAAAAAATAATACAATACTTGGAAAAAGCTAATTTACCCAAAGTTCTGGAAATGATGAAAAATATGTTGAATGAAAGAATAACAATGGCAGAATTAGTAGAAGCAATTAAAAGACAGAAAAACAATAAAACACCAGACCCAGATGGTTTACCAGCAGAAATTCATAAAGACTTAAAAGATACACTGAGCTTGTTAATGTTAGAGATATATAATGAGGTCTTATTAGAAGCTAAGATACCAGACACATGGACAGAAGACAATGTTACTTTGATTCTAAAAGAAGACTCAGATTTAATACAAATAAAGAATTAATGGCCAATATCTGTGTTAAATACAGACTATAAAATATTTACATCAATAATTGCTGAAAGATTAAAAAGATTTTTGAATGAGTTTATACACCCTGACCAAAACGGGCTTTTACCCAAGAGGCAAATTAGAAACAATGTTAGAATAATTCTAGATACATTGGATTATTATGAAGTACATAGTGAAAAACAATTCACATTAATCTTCTTGGATGCCCAGAAAGCGTTTGATAACGTAAATTGGCAATTTATGTTGCAGCAATTAAAAGTTATGGACTTTGGTGAAAAGAGAGCTAAAATGATGGTGAATGGAGATGTGACAGAAAACTTCTATATAAAAAAGGCATGAGACAAGGCTGTCCACTATCCCCATTATTATTTATATTAACACTAGAAGTTCTGATTAGAAATATTTGGCAAGACCAAGAAATAAAAGGAATGGAGATTTTTAAAAAATACAAATTACAAGCATTTGAAGATCATTTAGCTTTTATGTTAGAAGAACCATTAGATACTGGTCCTAAACTGATAGGGAAAATTGAAGAATAGCAAGAAGTGGCAGGGTTGAAAATAAATCAAGAAAAAACCAAAATGATAGTTAAAAATTTCACAAATAAACAGAAAAAAAGAATTGACAGAGAAAATAGACCTGCAGAGAGAGTAAAGAGAGTTAAATGTCTAGGCATTCGGATAACAGCAAGATGTGCAACAATTAAAAAGGATAACTATACAAAACTAATGCAACAAATTAAGCTGGATCTAGAGAAATGGAAGAACTTACAACTATTGTTGATAGGGAGGATTGCTACTATAAAAATGAATATATTACCAAAGCTACTTTTTTATTCCAAATGATACCAATAAGAATAGAGAAAAAATATTTTGAGGAACTAAATAAAACAATTTTGAAGTATATTTAACAAGGGAAAAAAGCAAGAATAAAAGTGAAATTGTTACAGGACTCCAAAAGCAACGGGGTTTTTGGATTACCAGATTGGGAATTATACTATCAGGCATCTGTATTTACGTGAGTAAAGGAATGGATGAACTTGAAACATAGAAGATTATTACTATTGGAAGGACATAATCTTCAATTAGGATGGCATACTTTCTTATGGTATGGAAGGAGTACGATACATAGTGATTTTCTTTCTTTTCTTTTAAAAAATATTTTATTGATTACATCATTAAAATATTGGATATGGTGTGGTTGTCCTGACATCATTTTTGCCATACATACTAAAGTATATGATACATATCTTATATACATTTATACAATTAACTTATATCCATTGTATTATCCATCATATTCCATTATAATTATTTACATAATCTCAATTATCCAATCTACAAATCCTGGTTATTTTTATTCTGGGTCCCTTCTGGGTCCTTTCTGCTCCCACCTTGATAAAATTTATTCCATATCTTGTAACATTCTGTCTCACCTTTATTTTTCAATTCCAAAGTCAGTCTATCCATTTCAACACAAATCAGTATTTTCTTTATCACCTCACCTTCTTTGGGAATTTCTCTATTTGTCCATTGTGCAAAAACCATTCTTGCTGTCGTGATAATATGCACTATTAAATAGATCACCTCTTTACTATATCTCTCTTTCGTGATTCCCAATAAGAATAGTTCCAGTTTGTATTCTATTCTTTGTCCAAACATCTCATCCAACCATTGTCATATGCTCTCTTCTTTGGTGTGATACATAGTTATTTTCAAACACATTATGTGAGAAATGCTTTACTTCAGGGAAAAAATTAAATTATAAAACTACATGAAAATACCAGTCTGGCTTTCCACGATGGAAGCATTGATACATCGAAATCTTATTGCTTAGAAAAAACTGTATTTTATAAAGACATTTTAAACAAGAATGGTGAACTTAAAATTAGACAACAATTACAAAACCAAGGGGTGGATTTAGCATGGTGGGCGCACTTGCAAATACAAACAAGATATGAGAAAGATGCGAAAACATGGGGTTTCTATAAAGAACTAACAATAGTTGATAAGATATTATTACAGATGGATGAAAAACTGATTAAAATGTATATAATTATTTATTAAGTTATAAAATGGAAGAGGAACAAGTCAAAGAAACAATGATTGTATGGGCAAATTTTTTTTGGTTATACTATAGACAAATGTTGGTAGTGTAATCAAATCCCAGGTACTTATTATCATTTGTGGTGGACCTGTAGGAAAGCAAGAAAATATTGGACGAAAATACACACATGGTTGGAAAAGATGATTAAGGAACACATAGATTTGAAACCAAAAATATTTTTGTTGGGTATAATGCCAGAAGGATATGATAAAGGGACTGTATATCTAATTTTTCATGTATTGACAGCTGCAAGGATTGTATTTGCACAATATTGGAAAAATGAGAACTGTTAGGGATAACATTGTTTTACCCTAACTGTTTTGGGTAAAGATAATAAAATGATGAATCATGGTTTGTCAGATAAAGTGTATGTGACTTTAAGCTAAAGGAATGTAATTAAGGGTGCAGCTGTAAAAGTACTATATAAGCAGCAAGGCACTCTCTGGCTCTTACTGGCTGGCTTATTGAAGACTGTGTTCTTGCTGGATCGGGGAGGAGAAGAAGTGTTGAATTACTTTGAAGATATTTCTCAACGGAGAGAAGATAAGTTTTGGACAGATTTATTATATGTGTACTGACACTGGCTATTCGACACGGACTTTGCAATTAGAGTATCCTCGACAAGACTTGACTGAAATTGATATATGACTAATGGACCGTTACATTTGACTATGCTATAATTCTTAAATGGAATAAATTATAATTTTGATAGCACAAGCGTATCTGTATTTTTACTGCGTGTTAACGAGAAAACTTATCTCACGCATTTACCTGTCTTCCTATCTGACTTCGCTGCACGTTCTGTTTAGTTTGTTTTCCTTAACACCCATTGGGGAATCCAGGCTTAACAAGAACACCCTATCAGATGAGAATATAATTCAGAAAATACTAGACTGTACAGAGATGGATAGATTGACATTAAAAATAAAGGACAAAGAAGACACAGAATATTACTTAACATGGAACAGATTTTATGAATGATTAGAGGTAGAAATTAGGTGAAGAAAGATTATTGTTATGTAAGAACTAAATATAAAGAGGGTTGATAATTATAAATATGTTGATATAACTAACAACTATAAAGAAGCTAATACAAAGAAATTTAGTTAAATTATTTTGTTACACTATCAGTATTGTTACTAATATAAACATTGATATTTCTATTTTTTTCCTTTCCTTTTTTGTTTATGATATGCCCTGACAATACATTGTATTCAAAATGTTTATGAATAAAAATAGAACATATACTAGAAAGAATCATTTCAGGTCTGCAGGAGAAATAAAGTAGACTTTCAGATCTCAAGATGGATGTGACTTATATATCTGAGCAATTATGTATCTGAGTGATTCATTCAAGCAAACACATTTTGCCTGCTTTTCCCTCTGCTGGTATTTTATCATTTTTCCAATTCTGCACAAATACAATCCTAGCTGCTGTTAATATATGTATAATTAAATATGTTTCTTCTTTGCTATAACATTCAGGTACCATCCCTAATAAGAATATTTCAGGTTTCAAATCTATATGTTTCTTTATCATTTTTTCCAACCATGTCTGTATTTTTGTCCAATATCTTTTAGCTTCTATGCATGTCCACCACATATGGCAATATGTTCCAGGTTCATGATGACACTTCCAGCATTTGGCTGATTTATCTTTAAACATCTTTGCCAGTTTTTGCTGGTGCAAAGTCCCATCTATAAAACATCTTATACAAATTTTCTTTATATGCTGCTATTGTTAATTTATAATTTCTTTCCCATAATTTCTGCCTTTTATCTAATTCTATAGTGTACCCCCAAAAATTTGCCCATGCTATCATTGTTTCCTTTACTTGTTCTTCTTCTAGTTTAACACCTAGCAAGTAGCAATACCATTTTTAATCAATTTATCTTCTGTTCCTGTTAGTATTTTATCCAGCTCTGTCGATTCCTTCCTCTTTGGCATCTTTTTCATATCTTAATTGCATTTGCATGTACCAATCCATATAATTCCTTGTTCGTTCAGTTCTTGTTTGTTTTTGAGCTCAACCTTTTCATTTAATATATCCTTATATCTAACAATAGTTCCCATTTTACTGATATTTGGGTGTACAAGTGCTTCCATTGTTGATAACCAGACTGGGATTTTCAGATAATGTTGTTCTCTAGTTTTTTTCCCGTGTTAACAACAAAGCATTCCTAACAAAATGTCTTCGAAAATAACCATGTATCTCACTTTCCCCATACCATAAAAATGCATACCAACCCAATTGTAAGTCATGTCCTTCCAGTGTCAACAACCTTGTATTTCTTAACAAAATCCATTCCTTCATCCAAGCTAATACCATAGCCTGGTAATATATTTCCCAATTAGGTAATCCAAACCCTCCTCTGATTCTTGCATCCTGTAACATTTTATAGTTAATTCTTGCTTTTTTCCCTTGCCTTATATATTTATTATATTTTCTCTAGTTTTATTGGAATTGTCTGAAACAGATATAACATTTTTGGTAATATATTCATCTTAATCGTTGCTATTCTTCCTATTAAGGATAATTGCATATTTGTCCATTTTTCCAACTCTGTCTTAATCTGTTGTTTTAATTTATAATAATTATCTTCCTTCATCGTTCCACATCTAGCCATCAATTGAATCCCTAGATATTTTCTTTTCTTTACTATCTGCATATCTAATCTCTCCATTAATTTTTTTCCTGTTTCTCTATCATGTTTTTTAACAATATCTTAGTTTTCCCTTTATTTATTTTCAATCCTGCTATATATTCCTGCCATATATTGATCTTATTGATCAATTTAGGTCCTGTTCTTAATGGTTCTTCTATTATAAAACCAAATCATCTGAAAATGCCTGTAATTTGAATTCTTCTTTTTTTATTTCCATTCCTTTTATTTCCCTATCTTTCCTAATTTTTCTATTCAGTACTTCCAAGAGTCATTAAGGGAGGGAGGGCTAGGTCTCTTTCAGGGGCATAGAGACTCTGGTCTCATGATGTGTTTGACCTCACCCTCGGGCTTAGATTAATTACCTCCTACATTCTCCTGGAGAAGAAGACCAAAGGGGAGGCAGAATCAGAGGAAATGAAAAATGCAGCAGCAAAAGCAATGGAGGAGAAACGCAGCAGCAACAGAATCATTGGAGGGGCGACTGTAGCAGCAGAGTCAGACAGCACAGCAGCTAAAGCACATGGAGTTGGAGAGATCTTATCTCTAAAGCTGAGTGGCGGGCTGAGTAGAGAAGACCAGACAGCCAACCAGATAACAAAATAGCATGCGGAGAGAGCTAACTAGAGGAGAAGAGAGGCTGAAAAGACCCAAGCACCAAAGGACAGAAGAGGGATGACAGAGAAAACAACAAGAGACCAGAGCAATGAACGATGCAAATGAAGACAGCTATTAAGCTTGAGGTCCCAATAGGAAGGGAGGGAAGATTCCAGCAGAGAATAAAAATAAACACAGTGTTAAATTGTGGGCGAGAGATAACGCGGGAGGCTCCAACTGCTTAGCTTCTTTATTGCATTGTTCAGAACCAAGCCGCAGCCACGGCAGCTCCTTTTACCGTGGAGTTGCTCATGGCTACAACCAGTGATGACTCTTTAAATTCCCACTCATGGTTGGGTGCCATGGGGGTGCTGGCCGGTTTTCCTGGCAACCCTTGCAGGTGGATAGCCATGCCTCTATTTCTTTATCCATCCCTGGCCACCACACATAGCTCCTTGCTAGGGATTTCATTTTAACTATCCCCGGATGCCCTACATGCAACATTTCCATGATATCATCCCTTAAACTTTTGGAAATTATTACCCGATTCCCCCACAGTATGCACCCTTTCAGTATTGATAGTTGTCTGTTCCTGAACGGTTTAGTTTCATCAGCTTTTTCCTTCTTGGGCCACCCTCTCCCTACCCAGTTCAAAACACGCGCCAGAGGCTTCCGGTTTGCAGGGCTTTGGCAGCAGGCAGGAATCCGCGATCATGCGCGGTTTCTGCCTGGGCTCGCCGCTGGAGCATCCCAAGCCAGCTGGCTTTGGGGCTAAGCCACCCCATAGAGGTGGTGAAGAGGGGGGAGATTCCAGCAGGGTCGAGGAAAGCCGCATCTTTCCTCCTCAGCTGGCTAAACTCCCTTTCCCGAAGGCGGTAAGAGCGGTGGTCAGAAATGGCCGCCTCAAAGAAGCACTCATCCGGAAAAGAAAGTGCAGGAGGAAGTTAAAGAAGTGAAAGTTTTGGCTGACTGGGATAAGAAGCAACAACTAAGGTATCCTGGAATTTAAAATTTAAAAAAGATACATCGCTCCCAAAGAAGATTTGGAAGCAGCAAATGAAAGTGAAAAGGGAAAGCTTTTTTTTCACTCTCCTTCCTTACGTTGACAGCGAACAGAGATGAACGAGAAATAGGAAAAAACCACTTTGGCATCAATAGGTAATTAAACTGGATAATTAAATGTCAAGGGGACAATAAGGATTTCTGAACACTAAAAAAAAAATTTTTTTTTGCTGTAAGTGGGAAGGGAGAGGAAAAGAATAAGAGGAGGATTTGGAAGGAGGAGGCTGCCTGGAATTCAAAAGAACCTAAAGTTAAATCTTAACAAGACCTCTAAAAGATACATTTTAACTGGAACTTTGTAATTAAATAGTAACCCCAGGAAGAGAAAGTGAAAAAAGAAGAAAGTGTTAAAAGAAACAGCTTGTGTGTATTTGGATTGCTTGGTGACTTTGGGACTTTTGGAAATTATATTTGAATGATTAAAAACACTTGGGTGGTTGTTTAATTTTTTTTTACAATGGCATCACTTGTGGATGAACTGAAAATGGAATTTAAAAAATACAAAGAAGAGGAACAAGAAGGGAAGGGCTCTCTTGGCTCCGTTTTTCAATTCTTAGAAATGGCGATCTGTACCTACGAGAAACTACAATAAAAGACTGCGCAACAAGAAGATTGGGACAAAGAAGAAGCCATCTTTAATGAACAAGTAACTTTACTTGGGGAAGAAAGGGGAAAGGGGGAAAAGAAAATGGAGAATTTAAGACCTAAAAAAACAACCAAAAAAGGGGAAAATAAGGTGAAAAGTGGATATAATGTTAGAAAGCAACAGAAAAGGGGAACACAGAAGAGGGAAATGGAGGTGGAGAGACAAGGGGGTAAAAAGGGCAGAGAGAAGAAGCAAGGGAGGAAGGAAGGGAAGAGAAGCTACAAAGGTGTGGAGCAAGATGTAAAGAAACAGGACTTATTCAGAGATAATGGGTAAAAATTTAATTGACAAAGTGATTCTGCAAAGATACATAAGATTGTATTAGATTATAAGATTGTATACATATTTGTATTAGAAATAATGTTAGAAAATTGGAAACAACATATGATTAAAAAGTGGGATAAAATACTCAGTGTAATTCAGTGAAACTTTTGTGAACAAAATAAATGAAATGAAATAAATGAGAGAATTGAATTAGGAAGGAATGGGAACATTTTAATGACACAATGTTTTAAAATATAAGTGAAGTGGGGGGGAAGTAACTATAGAAAGTTTATAAGTGTTCCCATAGAAGCATGATACCTATTTGAAAAGTAATGTGTAAAATGTTTAAGATTTAAATGAATATTAATATTAACAATAGAATTGAATTGGTATGGATTGTTGTTTTAATTATATTATATATTTATAATTTTTTCTCTTTTTAAAATATAGTATGTAACTTGTACTAAGCAGAATCCGAATGGAAGTTATGTATTATATTAAGTGTTATAAATTTAGGGGAAAGATATAAAGGCGTCATACTCCAATCAGTGATTACAGGAGAAATTTTGTTTAATGAGAAAAGATAATAGACAGCTGGAAACAGGACAGACAAAGAATATAAGTATAATGATCTGAATTGAGATGAAATAAATAAAATAAAATAAAGAAAGTTAAAAGAGGGGAGAAGCTATATAGAAAATGCAGAATGGTAATAAGATATGGAATGATATATAAAAATGAGCATGAATTTGAATTTGTGTCTGTACGAAGAGATGTAACCCGGGATCAAGCTGCTTTCAAAAAAGATGTTTTATGTTTTTATGTTTTATGTTTTGTTTGTCTATGTTTGTTTTTAAAAATCAATAACATTTATTTAAAAAAAAAACACGCGCCAGAGTTCTGTCTTTAGCTGTTGCTTCGCGATATCGGTTGCTGTTACCGGTGTTCATTGAAATGTCTCTATCAGGAGTGTGGTTGTCACTGGTGCCGGATCTTTGTCCTGGATGGGTAGGGGGCATCGACTCAGTGCATCGGCATGGTCAATGTCTCTTCCTGGCCTGTAGATTAATTTGTAGTCGTAGGCAGTCAGGAATTCTATCCAACATGTCATTCTGGGGGACAAGATGTTCGGTGTGACTCTGTCCCCCGCAATGATGCCCAAGAGTGGTTTGTGGTCGGTGACTAGTGTAAATTTTCTTCCGTATATGTATTCGTGGAATCGCTTGATTCTGGTGACTGTAGCTAACACTTCTTTGTCTAGTTGGCTATAATTCCGTTTCGGTTTGGATAATATCTTTGAGTAGAAGGCTATTGGGGCTTCTTTTCCATTCAGTAAGATGTGGCTGATGATCGCACCGACCCCGAATGGTGATACATCGCAAGTTAATGGTAAAGTCTCATTGTACTGGATTAGTATGTTGTCTGATGTAATTATGCTCTTTATCTCTTGGAACGCTGCTTCTTCTTTTTGCCCCCAAACCCAGGCTGCTTTCTTGTCAAGCAGTCTATGGAGTGGCTCTGCCACTGTTGCCTTCTGTGGTAAGAATATATGGTAAAAGTTAATGAGACCAAGGAAGGCTTTCAAGTCTGTTTTGCTTGTTGGCCTTGGGGGCTTCTTTGATTTTTTTAATTTTACTGTCCATGGGATGGATCCCTTCACTGTCTATTAGATAGCCCAGGAATTCTACCTTGTCGGCTGCTAGCTGGCATTTTTCCTTTTTTTTTACTTTTAGCCCCACCTCTTTGAACTGGCTTAGGACTTCCCTTAAGCATTCTTGTAATTGTTCTTTGTTCTTGGATGATATGAGGACATCGTCGAAGTAAGGCACCACCCCCTTTATCCCTTGCAATAATTGTTCCATGAGGTTCTGGAATAGCCCCAGGGCAACGCTGACCCCAAATTGTAGTTGATTACATTTGAAAGCTCCTGAATGTGATTGTCTGTGCTTCTGCTGTCTCAGGGTCTATCATTAATTGCTGGTAGGCTTGCGCGAGAACAAACTTTCTGAAGATCTTCCCCCGCCCCAGGGAGTGTAAAAGGTGTTGCACCACTGGGATAGGGTGTGTACTCTCTTGTAGGGCATGGTTAAGGGTGGCCCGATAGTCAGGACAGATGCGCCAAGATCCATCTAGCTTTATAGGTGTGACAATAGGGGTTTCCCATTTTGCATGGTCTATGGGTTC